GTCTTCTTAAGCAGGAGATACTATACCATTCCAGGCAAATAGCTGTCTAATCTCTTCTTAAAAACTTCCAGTGTTGAAGCATCCACAACTTTTGGAGGCAAGTCATTCCACTGATTAATTGTTCTAACTGTCAGGAAATTTCTCTGTATTTCTAGGTTGCTTCTCTCCTTGACTAGTTTTCCATCCGTTGCTTCTTGTGCTGCCTTCAGTTGCCTTCAAGAATAGGTTGAGACCCTCTTTGTGGCAGCCCCTCAAATATTGGAGCACTGCTATCATGTCACCCCAATCCTGCTTTTCATTAAACCATACATACCCAATTTCTGCAACTGTCCTTCTTATGTTTTAGCCTCCGGTCCTCTAATCATCATTGTTGTTCTTTTCAGCACTCTAGAGTCTCAACATCTTTTTTTATATCATTGCTGCCAAAACTGGATATAATGTTCCAAATAAGGTTTTACCAAGGCACTATAACACTTCATGTGATCTTGATCCTATCCCTTTATTAATGCAGTCTTATCTCCAGAATTTTCTCTCAAACAATAGTTTGACGTGAATTTTACAGATTTGTTTCAAAATTCAACGGCTGGATTGAAACTGTTTCTTTGAAATTTTGAGTCCAAGTTATCATGTATGTTCTTATTTGTTCTGTCTCTGTGTCATATCTAAGTAAGAGTATATATTTATATATTTAGGTTATGTTTATCCTGCCTTATTGTTTTTGTAAATATTTCAAGACAGCTAACATACCTAATACTCTTTTCTCCTACTTTCCCCACAACAACAACCCTGTGTTTGGGTTGGACTAAGAGAGAGAGTGACTGTCCCAAGGTTATCAGGTGTCTTTCATGCCTAAAGTGGGATCACAATCTCTTGGTATATCTATTAAGTGTTTTTTTTTCATATAAGTATTTCAAATTGTGTCATTTTAATTAAAGTCCTTTTCTTCTTCCAGCAATTTGTAACTATGTCATCCATGGCACACTCTGGCCTTCACTGAGTAATTATTACTGTGTCTAATCTGTTCATCAGATCTGGAATTCATTGTCATGAATTTCTTATGAGTTTGGCTAAAGGAAAGCTTAACATACTGCATCATGTGGCAGTGTTATTCAAGAAGTATTAACCAGTCATTCTTAAAATGAATTGAGGGGGACATGCAAATATATCTTCCTTGCATCTGCTCAGGACTGGGTGCCAGTTGTGCAGAACACTGCCTCTTACGCTGATGCCAGGATTTTTCAGTGCTTATTTAGCCATAGGAACTGGATGGTGTTCTCTGTAGAATGAGTTGTCTACCTGAGATTTGGGTCCATGTCTTACCTGGCTTCTGCAGGCAACCAGGCAGGGGGTCAGTGGCTGGATTAAGAAAATTGTCAGTGCTTCTTTGAAGGAGGGAATAATGTGGAGGAAGTTGTGTGTCTTCTCTTGAAGATGGATCAAATCATTTTCAATATGTTCTATCTGGCAACCTTGCCTTTGGGAAGAAGACTTCTGAGAAAATGGCTGAGACTCAGTTTCAGAAAATCCCAGAAAATAAATTATCTGGATTGCTGCCAGATGCAGACCCATCATGAAATTGAAATGGCACAAATTCTGGATAATCTTTATTGGGCCCTCCATAGGGAGAATGTGCTCTTCTAGTTCTTTAAAAACTTTCAGCAGCATATAGAATAGAATGATTGATTGATTGTGTGATTAGACACACAAGGAATTTGTCTCTGGTACATAAACTCTCAGTGTACATACAAAACAACAAAGTAATAATAAACAAAATATCAAAGTAATAATAATAATGATACCAATAAGAGAACACAGTGGAACAGATGAGCAGGATAAAAGTAATACAGCCATACTACATGGGTAGTTTAGTTTAGTTTAGTTTAGTTTAGTTTAGTTTAGTTTAGTTTAGTTTAGTTTAGTTTAGTTTAGTTTATTATATTTGTATACCGCCCTTCTCCCGAGGGACTCAGGGTGGTGAACAGCCATGGTAAAAACAATGTACAACAAAAATTAAAAGCTTATTAAAATAATTCAATCATTCGGCCAAATTTAAAACATCCAACTAAGATCATTTTAAAACTCCTATCAAAACCCAATTTAAAAAACCTTTATCCTGTCAGTCCAGCTTTCTGGAATAATAGGGTCTTCAGAGCGCGACGGAAGGCATGGAGGTCGGGGATCCTTCGTATGTCCAGGGGCAGTTCATTCCATAGGGCTGGGGCCCCCACAGAGAAGGCTCTCCCCCTGGGGGTCGCCAGCCTACACTGTTTGGCTGACGCCACCCTGAGGAGGCCCTCTCTGTGGGAGCATATTGGTCGGTGGGAGGCAATCGGTGGCAGAATGAGGTCCCGTAGATAACCAGGTCCTAAGCCATGAAGCGCTTTAAAGGTGTAACCAACACCTTGAAGCGCACCCGGAAGACCACCGGGAGCCAGTGCAGCTTGCGCAAGATGGATGTTACATGGGAGCGACGAGTCGCCCCCATTATTACTCGCGCGGCTGCATTCTGGACCAGCTGGAGCCTCCGGGTGCTCCTCAAGGGGAGCCCCATGTAGAGAGCATTACAATAGTCCAGACGGGAAGTGATGAGGGCGTGTGTGACTGTGCGCAGGGTGTCCCGATCCAGAAAGGGATGCAACTGGGAGATCAGGTGAACCTGATAAAAGGCCCCCCTGACCACGGCCATCATATGATCCTCCAAGGACAGCCGTGAGTCCAGGAAGATGCCCAAGATGCGAGCCCTCTCTGAGGGTGGTAAGATCTCATCCCCAATAGCCAGCGATGGTGTCAGCTGGCTATATCGGGCCATCAGGAGCCACAGCCACTCAGTCTTGGAAGGGTTGAGTCTGAGCCTGTTCCTCCCCATCCAGATCCGCACGGCCTCCAGGCAGCGGGACATCACGTCAAGGGCATCATTGGGGTGGCCTGGGGTTGAAATGTACAACTGCGTGTCATCGGCATACAGTTGACACTTCACCCCAAAGCCACGGATGATCTTGCCCAGCGGCTTCACATAAATGTTAAACAGAAGAGGCGAGAGGACTTACCCTTGCGAAACTCCACAAGTGAGGAATCTCGAGGTCAACCTCTGCCCCCCCCCATCAACACAAACTGTGTACGGTCAGAGAGGAAGGAGGAGAACCACCGTAGCACGGTGCCCCCCACTCCCACCCCCTCCAGCCGACGCAGCATGATACCATGATCGATGGTATCAAAAGCCGCTGAGAGATCTAGGAGGACCAGGACAGAGGAACAACCCCTGTCCCGGGCCCTCCAGAGATCATCAACCAATGCGATCAATGCCGTTTCCGTGCTGTAACCCGCCCTGAAGCCCGACTGGCACAGATCTAGATAGACAGCTTCATCCAGGAATTGAGGAAGTTGTCACGCCACCACACTCTCAACAACCTTCGCCGCGAAGCGGAGGTTGGAGACAGGACGATAGTTAGCTAATACAGCTGGGTCCAGGGAAGGCTTCTTGAGGAGGGGCCTCACCACCGCCTCTTTCAGGGCGGACGGGAAGACCCCCTCACTCAATGAAACATTGGTAATCTCCTGAAACCAGCCTCATGTAACCTCCCTAAGTAAATATACTTAGACATATGACAGTACTGTGGGAATTATTTTGAAGACTGTAGTTACAAGATTATTGAGGGAAGGAGTCAAAGCTACTTTTCAGAGGCTCCTTGGACTACATGGGTTCACACATTGTGCTAAATTTAAATTCAGAGGTGTATCAAGTAATGGCATATTACATTTGTTATTTACACTCCATACCCTCTACTAAGAATTCTGATTGTTTAGACAAACTTTACTGAATAAAGAACAGTTGACTAGCTTTGCCCAACAATTTAAGTCATAAGGAGGGGTTTATGAACTACTATGTCTGCATTCAGAACACACAACATTAAAAACCAAGTGTATTATATTTAAGCAGTGTTTACACAACCCATGTTGTAGTGCACACATCATGCTTTCCTTGGTTTGTATTTGGCATATTGTATAAACACAGACATGATGCTTTGTAAACAATGATTAATGACTTACTGTGAATCCATGTGACCATGATTTATTTCACAAATGATAGTTAAGCACACAGTCCTACAATGTTTATATACAATATACTGTACATAAAATCATAAATCATAATGATTCTTTTAAATTCTGATTTTCACATAGTAAAAGGTACAACACATTTCAGTTAAGCTTCCCTACTGTACAGTACTTGATTATCAAACTTCATGGAAGAAGAGTAAGATGGCATTATATCAGAGGTGGTATTCAGTAGGTTCTGAGAGGTTCTGGAGAACCAGTAGCAGAAATTTTGAGTAGTTCGGAGAACCGGTAAATACCACCTCTGACTGCCCCCACCCCCCATCTATTCTCTGCCTCCTGGGTCCCAAGAGGAAATGGGGATTTTGCAGTAACCTTCCTCTGGAGTGGGGAGGGAATGGAGATTTTACAGTAGCCTTCCCTTGTCACGCCCACAGAACCAGTAGCAAAAATGTGGTTGAGCACCTTGTGTAAATCTCAATAAACGTGATATGTGATTTAGCAATGATATGTGAACCCTGCAGAATCGATTTATTTAAATCCACAATTTCCCATGTCTTGTGGAGTCAGGAGTGAGCCTTTCTATGTAAAAGGGAAGATACGTGTCTAGTAGGAAAGGTGATACGTGTCATCGGCAGGCAGGGTAGTGGTGCTGAATTTAATTGCCAAGTACGTTGGCGGCGGCGGCAGAGGGCGTCCTTCCTCCTCAGGACCGTCTCCGTTAACATGCTGGCTGCGTCCGATGGCAAGTCAGGGGCATAGGGGGCAAGGTAGGGGGTGTTTGCGCGATCCTAAATTTGCCTCTATTTAGGGTTGCTCGCTGACCTGGGACATCAGAGGGAAAGGAAACCTTGATTATGTGATTTATGACTGTCGCAGTCTGCGGGGGGTGAGGTGGGCGGGAGGAAGGCGGAGCATTTCCTGAGGAAAAGGAGAGCGGGGAGAACCAAAAAGGAAAATAAGCAGCCTCGGAACTGAACGTAATTTGTGCATCGTGGAGCAGGGCTTTCCTTTCGGGTTCCGTGGCAGCGCACTCGCGGGGGAGGGGGCAACTCATTCGCCCCACCCAGATTTTGGCTTCTCTGTTTCCCCTCTCCCAGTCTACAGGGCGGGACCGGGGCTGTGAGGCAGCGGTCGATTGGCCGAAGCGGAGGGGGGCGCTGGTCCGTCGGGGGGGGGGAGGGGGGATGGCCACCCGACTGAAGCCTCGCCTGGATGGGCTCAGCGTCGTGGGCGTACTTGTCTCCCCGGCCGAAAAAGAGGCACCAGGCAGCCGGAGGGAGGTGAGTAGCCCACGCGGGTGGAGCGCGACAGGACGAGCCACAAGCTGTTCTCCATGGGGAGCGGGGGGATCGTTTTGAGCAAAGGGCGACGAAGCTTCGATGGCATGTAAAGTCGACCCGATCGCCAGCTGCCTTACTGCTGGAGAGGGGCTGGAGAAGTGTTGATTTTGCGAGGAAAGAAGCTGTGTGCGGCAGATATGGATTGTACAGTAATGCTTCGGGAGGTCGCGATCTTGAATGGAAGACGCGCTCGGAGTGCCTCGTTTTGGGGACTAAACCTGGCGCGCTCGCACCTTCCATCGCCATAATTTTTGCGGGGAAGGAACTGAAAGCAATCGCCCTTTCGCCCCTCCGGCTCAAAGAGGAGAAGGTCCTTTGGCCGTGACACACGGATGTAACACGTCGTGTGGAAGTATTGCATCAGAAGAACCCTGGACAGGGGGTTCTGCTCGCGTGTGTTTGTGAGCCTGTACAAATCAGAGTCTAAAAATGGGAAAGCCTCCTCCCGCTTCCTCCCCAAGATATTTTTGGGAAATGTCACACTAAAGATATGACCACACCAAGTCCAGAGAATTTGCAGCGTCAAAGAAAATTTCAGTGCTTAATTGACAGCATCAATAATATTTAACTCAGGGCATAATTTAGCAAAGATAAAGGAACTATATAGTGATAGATAGGGGAAAAGGAATATATTTTAGATCTCCCTCCCCCTCTCTCTCCCTCCCCCTCTCCCTCTCCCTGTGGTCACCAAGGAACAAGTTAAAGTGAATGGTTCTGCTTCACCACTGGAAAAGCTCATTTAGTCCTAAATCGGATTGTTATTATCATAATGTAATAGAGTCCCTGAAGCCTGTTGAGGCAGCTCCTGGATGAAGCACACCTGCTGCATTTGATGTTAAAAATTTATATCCTACAATTGAAATTTGACATTTGAAACCACCCAAGATGGCTTATGTAACAAAAACAACACATTTTATGAAATATAACTACAATATTAAAATTAACATTTCCAGATGTAACAAACCATGACTAAAGACCTCCAAGGGAGGAGGGGAAGAGAGTTCCATATCAATAGACTACTGTTTGAAAAGATCTGATGTTGAAAAGAGACACACGTCAGGACTGTATAGATTAGTAGATGGCTGTGGCTGAGGAGAAGGTGGTCATTTCATATAGATATTTCCTGAAAGGAAGCAAGAGATAGAAACAGGCGTACCCAGCTGCCCTCGGTAAATAGTGCAGAAAAATAAGAAAGGGGGCTGTCCTATTGCTCTGTCTGTCCCTTCAGTCCAAAATTTCTTTAGACTGAAAGCAGTTGTATAAAAGTCTCTGATTCCAGATTGTGCAGCTGAGTAAATCAGTTTCAATCCAACCTGAAAAACTCTCTTACAGCTGTATCTCTGGGGTAATGGCTTTGTATGGGGATCATCTCTTCAGGAATCTGTTAAGTTTACAGATCACTGTCACACATCGCAGTAAGTCATGGTATGAGTTGGTAGAACATACTTAGTCACAAAGTAACAAAAATATTTTGCATGTTGTGATATGAATCCAGAATGCAGAGTGCTAGCATATCCAGATGGACACTAAAGAAATCAGGCTATAGATACTGTAAAAAATAATCAAAAAACAGATCTGTGAACATCTAGAAACAAAGTTATAACTAATATGAGCCGTGGTGGCTCAGTGGTTAGAATGTAGTATGGCAGACTACTTCTGCTGACTGCCAGCAGTTCAGCAGTTTGAGTCTCACCAGCTCAAGGTTGACTCAGCTATCCATCCATCTGAGGTTGGTAAAATAAGGATCCAGATTGTTGGGGGCAATAGGCTGGCACTGTAAACCGCTTAGAGAGGCTGTAAAGCACTGTGAAGCGGTATATAAGTCTAAGTGCTATTGCTATTGTTGCTATTGCTAATAGCGAGCACGGGTTTGTTAAAAACAGATCATGCCAAATCAATTTATTTCATTCTTTGACAAAGTAACTAAATTAGTAGACCAGCAAAATGCTGTTGGCACAAAATATTTAGATTTCAGCAAGGCATTTGACAAAGTAGATCATAACCTACATCTTGGTAAGCTAGAAAAATGTGGGATCGACAGCATCACCATCAGATGGCTGACAAACCATACTAAATGAGTAGTCCTTAATGATATTACATCTGCATGGAGAGAAGTGAGCAGTGGGGTAGCACAAGGTTCCGTCTTAGGCCCAGAACTTTTCAAAATCTTAATAAATGACTTAGATGAGGGAATAAAAGGGGAACTCACCAAATTTGCAGATGACACTAAGCTGGCAGGAATAGCCAAACCCCAGAAGACAAGCTCAGGATCCAAAAAGATCTTGACAGACTTGAACAATGGGCCCTATCCAACAAAATGAAATTTAATATGGAGAAAAGCAAAGTTTTACATCTGGGTTGAAAAAACCAAAGGTACAGATTAGGCGAAACTTGGCTCAAAAACAGTAACAGTGAGAGGGACTTCAAAATCCTAGTGGACAATCACTTAAAGATAAGTGAGGCAGCTAATATAATCCTTCGTTGTATAAACAGAGGCATAAAATCAGAATCATGTGAAATATTAATACCATTTTATAAAGTAAGGCCACACCTGCAATATCATATTCAGTTTTGGTCACCACATTACAAAAAAGATGTTGAGACTTTGGGAAAAGAAGAGTTGCTTAGAAAGAGTTGCTTTCAAAGAAGAGCAACTAAGATGATTAAAGGCCTGGAGACTAAAACATGAAGAAGAGTTGCACAATTTGGAATGAGAGAAATTAGATTAGAGAAAAGAAGAACTAAGGGGGACATGATAGCACTATTCCAGTATTTGAGAGGCTGCCACAAAGAGGAGGGGGTCAATTTATTTTCCAAAGCACCAGAGGGCAGGACAAGAAAGTATGGATAGAAACTCATCAAGGAGAGGAGCTATCTGGAATTAAGGAGAAACTTCCTAACAGTGAGAACAATTAACCAGTGGAACTTGCCTTCCGCTTGCCTTCAGAAGTGGTGGGTGCTTCATCACTGGAGTTTTTAAGAAAAGACTAGACAGTCACTTGTCTGAAATGGTATAGGGTCTCCTGCTTGAGCAGCGAATTGGACTAGAAGACCTCTATGGTCCCTTCCAGCTCTGTTCTGATTGATTGATTGTTTCAGTTTGGAGCATCTATCTTTTCTGATGTGTTCACACAACACACAGAACTTATGAGACCACAATTTAACATAGTATATTGTGCAAATGCATTTTGTGTACTTAAACAATGATTTATATACATATACATTTATATATAACTCAGGCAATTAAATGCTGTGAAAGCATTTAATGTGGTTGCCTGTTGAAATCCTTTCCATATGTGATGGAAAACTAATCTCTGATAGGCACTGTTATATCATTTTTAATCATTCCAAATTTTTCTTTATGTTACTAATATATTTATTGTAGATCCAAGTCATCAGTAGACTTTTGGAACAGATTGCAAAATGCAAAGTACATTTCTCTTTCAAATGCAGCGGTTCCATTTGAATGGGCTAAAGGAAACAACATAACCCTCCACACAAATAATAAGAGTTATCTGCTTAATCATCTTGCATCTTTTCTGATTTGTACTGTGCTGTGCTTTGGTAAAGGGTGATAATGATGCGTAGGAATATATTTTATGCCTCAATAAATTGAACTGTTGTTTTTTGTTAATCTGTAAATCCTTTGAATACCCATTAAGAGTATTTTGTAACAATTGGCCAGATCTAATTGTGTAAGATTAAAGATTAGACTAAAGGAACAGGCAGTTTTGCTGTGAGAGTGATGAGCTTCTGGGTGTGCATTCCAGCAGGGCACTGCTTAAATATCAATATTTCATTTTTCTGGTCTAAAACTACAGTGTTTCATATCTAAGGATTGAGTGAAAAATAATGCCTCCAGTGGGCAGTGACTGGGCCTGTGTCTTTAGACCCACCTTCCTGACTTCTGGTTGTCCAGGAGCCCTCTCAGGCCATGCTTAATTGCCTGTGATCTCACAGTCTTAACTCCTTCCGCCATACAGCTCAGACTTGATGTTATAAGATGTTCATCTATCCCCCAAATTGAAGGAATGCTTTGTGGGCATCTTGTGGCTCAAATCAAGAACTCAAAAGAACTTTTAGGCTAGATGAAGAGACAGCTTTAAGAAGTTTGCCATTGTGGGAAGAAGTGTTTAGGGAGTATGGTGTTTAGGTGGAAAAGAATACAGGTAACGAAAGAGGTTGTGAGGATTATGGCACTTTCCTGTTTTGATTTATGAATAGAATAGAATAGAATAGAATAGAACAGAACAGAACAGAACAGAACAGAACAGAACAGAACAGAACAGAATTCTTTATTGGCCAAGTGTGATTGGACACACAAGGAATTTGTCTTGGTGCATATGCTCTCAGTGTACATAAAAGAAAAGATACATTCGTCAAGAATTATAAGGTACAACACTTAATGATAGTCATAGGGTACAAATAAGCAATTGAATCATATTAGGAAACAGTCAATATAAATCATAAGGATACCAGCAACAAGGTTACAGTCATACAGTCATAAGTGGAAGGAGATGGGTGATAGCAACGATGAGAAAATTAATAGTAGTGCAGACTTAATAAATAGTTTGACAGTATTGAGGGAATTATTTGTTTAGCAAAATGATGGCATTCGGGAAAAAACTGTTCTTGTGTCTAGCTTTTCTGGTGTGCTCTATAGAGTCATTTTGAGGGTAGGAGTTGAAACAGTTTATGTCCAGGATGCGAGGGGTCTGTATAAATTTCCCAGCCCTCTTTTTGACTCGTGCAGTATACAGGTCCTCAATGGAAGGAGGTTGGTAGCAATTGTTTTTTCTGCAGTTCTAATTATCCTCTGAAGTCTGTGTCTGTCTTGTTGGGTTGCAAAATCTAACCAGACAGATATAGAGGTGCAGATGACAGACTCAGTAGTTCCTCTGTAGAACTGTATCAGCAACTATCCCTATTTAAATAAAAGTTATAGTGGTGGAGGCATCATTTTAAATTCAGCCCTCTTTTGTCTGTTTAGCTCCACAAAGGGTTGTGGGGGGAGGGGAGGGAAGGTTCAGAGCAGTCATGTGTGGAGTTGTATATGTGCCGACAAGATTTGGAGCCTAATTGTAAAATTAAAGCTTTCTCTTAGAATTATATGACTGGATAGCATTCCAGAGATTTTAGGATAACAAAGCGCTCTGTATTTTGCTGATTATGTATTAGAGACTCTGCCAGTGTTTCTCAACCTTGGCAGCTTGGTGGTCTTCAGAATTCCCCAGTCAGCATGGCGGAATTGTGTCATTTGGCGATGGAATTGCCAGTCCCAATTGAAGTCATTAAGTGAGGAGGACCAGTGATAGTTGCCCATTCTGTAAGAGGAGACTGAAGGTGATGACAACAACATTGATGATGACAATGATGATGATTTCCCCTTGTGCCTGTCACAGCTCAGGTGTTCCCAGAAAAGAGGCACAGGCAGTGGAGGCAAAGGGGTGGGATAAAAAAAAAAAAAAAAGACCAGAGATCTCCTCCAATTTGCTAGCCCTTTGGGAAGGAAGGAGTGGAACTACTCTGCATATTTAGCAAGAGGGAAAAAAAGATGAAGGGAGATTAGCTGAAGGTTTAAAAATATTTAAAAGGATTTCTGAGCAAAGAATGGGAACAGGATGTCTTGTGAGCAATACTAATGTATAAGAAGCTTGATTTCAGTTTAGGTGAAAGGCAGACTTTGGAATAAACTTCCTAGGAAAATCATGACTCTTTCTGATGAATTTTCAAATAAAGGGCAGGCAAACCATCATCCAATGGTCAGCAGCAAACAATTACCCAGCTTGGATTCTGAGTGGAGCTGCTATTTTAACCTTGGGAGTTGAGGTTGAATGCTACAAGTTTGCTTTCTAATCTTTGTACACTCAGAATCACCTGTATGACATGGGTGGCCATACAAATCATATACATAAATAGATAAAATGAATTACGGGGTTTAAAAAATGAATAGACGTATAGAATTAGCTGTATATTCATTTGCAGCAAATAGTTACTTAATACATGTACATATTCTGAAGTAAGGTAAAGATAATGTCAGCAATCCAGCTTGACTGTTAATGACTTAACACAAATTTATATATCAATGCTCTAATCATAACATGGATATCATGGGAGTCGATAGGTCTGTGGTGAGCAAAAACTTTTTGCAAATTAAACTGTGACACTATTGGTGGGTGAAAAAGGAACACGAACTGAATGGTCCATCCTAATATTTTCCTCTACTGTCCCTTATTATTATTAATAATCTGTTCTTTATTATTAGTCCTGTATTATTATTATCTGCCCTTTATTATTAGTAATCAGTTAGTAATATTAGTAATTATCTGTTCTTTATTAGCAGTAATTAATTTTTAGTAGGGGCCTTTCTTTTCTTTTTCCATGTTCTTAGCCTTACATAGAATTGGTTTCTTCTTTGCAAGATGGCTGTGCCAATTTTTGGCTGTATTTTGGTTTGCATAGTGGGTTTTATATATTGTTAGTTCTCCTAACCGTCTCCCTTCAGAATTCACTTGTGATTTTGTGATTTTTTTTTTATGTTGTACAGATTGTCTGCTGTCCCCATGTTTCTTTGTCTCAATTTCTCTCTTCTTCTGAGAGAATTTGATTAATCATATGTTTGCCACCTTCTTGGGGAATTTAACATTCTGGCTGAGGTCCAGCCCAACTCTCCCAAATTCTTTTTCAATGCTTCTTTTTGCCCCCCAGGACCCACTTTTGACCCACTTCCCTTTCCCAATATGACACAACCAGATTTAGGAAGAGTTTTTCATCATACAACTATTTATTTTTTCCATCTTGTTTTGTCATGATTTTCAGTCTTGATTCTTTGATCTTTTCTGTTTAAAAAAAAATTGGTCCCTTTTTTGTCTCTACCCTTAGTTCTGAGGCCTTTTGCTGGAAGAGGGTCTAGCAACTCTGTTGTCTGCTCTGAACAGACCTTTTGTCTACTTGCAGGTGCTATTGAAACTCAATGGAGGACTTCACTCGCTTGGGTTACTGCATTGTGGCTGGCAGCTTCGTAGCCTTCCAGTTCTCCTTCTCAGCCCTCAGCCCCCAGCTGTCCTTGTCCTTGAGCCCCAGCTACTCCAGCCTTCCTTCGGTCAAGCAGAGTGAATGGAATTCCAGGTAGAGAGAGGCTCTAGTGGATGTGGCTGGACGAATGGTTGCGAGATTTGCAGTTCTCTCACCTTTCCACTGTAAGAATCTCCATGGAACTTGAGAGGTTACGTTCCACGCCTAGTGTGCTTTGCACAGAATAGTTGCGTGCATATTGCAAGAGAGAGATTGTGTAGTTAGTGTTGCACTTATGTAATAACCTTTATGTGTTCTCCTCTTTAGATGTGTGTCTACACTCCATGCAGTGATAGTCGGCCTCTTCTGCGTCTACATCCTTTGGTATGACGATGCTGTAAATGCCAACCCCATCTGGTAAGAAATAACAGGCAATCGACTTGCATGCATGCCTCCTAGGGCACACATGTATAGATTTGGCAGCCTGCTCTCCCTGGCAAGAGAAAGAGAGGGAGAGAGGAAGAAGAGGAGGTGCATATGAGCATGATTGTTTTCATTGTGCTGAGAAGCACAATGACTGTTTTATGCTGAAAAAGAATAAGCCTTTGTTATACTTGGATTTTAGGATGTGAGAGGTGGAAACAGGGTCACTCCAGGCAAGAGGATCTGAACTGGCCTTGGCATTGAGCCTAAAAAGGTGCAAACACTCCTGCCGAAGACATAATCACTCCTTTCTTTAATCCCATTCCACATTTGCTCTATAGAACTATGCCTCCTGTTTCAATGAATGGGTTGAGTTGATGGGAGATTCTAAAGCTAAGAAGGCACTGATACCATTACTGCCTCTGTCTATATCACACCTTATCTTTCTGCTCTTTCTCCCCAATTCCTGCTTGATCTCACTTGTCCAGTTTCTTTGTTGTTTGACTTTGCACATGGCATGGCTGAAAGTCAAGACACTCTAGGTTCTGAACTTCACTTTCAAGATTTGGATGCAGAAGACTCACAAATACAACTTGAATAGAGTAGCTATTTTAAAATGAAGCCTAACACAGTACACAAGGGTCAAAAGGTATATGTTTGTACTTCAGAATTTAAGTCCTAGCCATCTTCCTTTGTCTTCCCATCTCTTCAAGGTGGCTGCAGTTGAAAGATTGACATAACAGTTTTCTCAAGCCTGGGAAATAATGATTCCTACCACCTATCACATTTTGCTGACAAACATCTTGGCCCTATGTTAGAATTCCTTAGAAACATATTAATGCCTTTGCTTTTAATCTTTTGTGGATTACCATTTCTCATGGACACTGAGTTAAAGATTGATTTTCTACCTTGAAAAATGAAGTGGAAATTCTAAGGGTATTTCAAATAACACAACTAACCATACAGTAGTTCAGAACCATATTATTACTAGACATGAGAACAAAGAAAGAACACAGGTGGTTGAATCTAGGAGAAGGTAGAAACAATATAGCTTTTTTTACAGTTCCGAATTTATTATTGCATCATTTAGAATAATTCTATAGAGTAGGACACTATTTAATTTTATCAGGATTTTATGCTTCTATTTTATATTGGGGGGAGGGAATGAAACAGAATAATGAAAGCAGTATTGTATCATTGTGAAAGAAACCTTGCAAGTTTTGTTTTGTACAAAAACACATACAAAACCCCCAGAGCTTCCAGTACAATGCTGCAACAGTGCTTGTGTCATTCTGATAAATGCAGCAAGCTTTTTTACATGCTACTTCTGTATATGTGTAGGGGTTGTATGAGTGTATATGTACATGTATGTGTGTGTATGTACATGTAAATTGTGTGTGTGTGTGTGTGTGTGTGTGTGTGTGTTTAGCAATCCTGAAAAATATTGGCCCAGAGATAGGCTAGAGAGAGTTGATGCTAGAAGAAATTCTGAATGACTAGGGTAAAAAGCTCTTTTTCAAAATGCCACATGATGTTGCCTGATGGAGGGTGGGGAAAATGGGCATCTAATAAATTAAAAATGGGGTTCCTCTCTCAATACCAGATCTTTGTCTTTTGACCTTGTCTCCATTCATTCATTCTTGCAGGGGAGATCCTTGGTTGGTCAAATTGAATGTAGCTGTCACCTGTGGCTATCTGCTCTATGGTAAGCACCACACCATTGGGTTTCACAAGGTAGGCTAGTGGGTTTGTTTTATTATTTTATTTTATTGATTAAATTTATATGCTGCCCATTTCACTGCTGAAGTGACTTATCAAGGCAGCTTTCAGATTTGCTGTGAAGATTTTCCTTGCCATAATAATCCTGACATATAATGATCATCTTTGTTAATATGCTTGTCTTTTCCCTGCCTCCTTCTCAGCCAATCCTATTGGGAATACCTCCTACATGAGATCTATTACAGTATACAAGCAGTTATTATTCCACTAAGATATTTTCAGTAGGTTATATCCAAAAGAATTAAATTAAAGCAAGACTGCCAGGAGCTCCCTCCTCTTCTTTTATCATGATGCAGTGAGGTGGAGGACTCCTTAGAAAGGAGAAAACTTTGCAAGGGATTGCATTAACTGAGGCCAGTCGAGGTTGTGTAGTCAGTTCACTTGGGGGGGGGGGAGAGGCTGTATTTTATTGTTGCACTTTTCCTTTCAGTCATTTTGCCCCATGCTGCTTTGAACAACTTTTCAGCTTGACAGAAAGCCAAGTTTTCAAGTGGAATCCAGATGTCTAAATAAAGATGAACAAATCTACCACTGCCCCATGATGTGCTCAAATGTTGTATGCCTTTCATTCCCATGTCTTCCGTTAAGACAGTGCCGCTGTGAATATCTTGTAATGTGACCCATTATAGGAAATGTACACTGGACATTTTTCTGAAAGTGGCTGACTCTGACCATTAAAGAGGAGCAATTGGATTAGAGTTAGAAGAGCTGGGTTTGATATCCCATTTCTTATTTTATTTTTGATCTACAATTAAAAAAAAACATACAGTTTATAGACCACAAGAAACTAAATACATATACCGTAACCAAATAAACAAAACAATAAATTTGTCATGTAGAAGGTATGAAAAAATGTCAGTTTTTATTTGATGTTTGCAAGGTGTGTATGTGTTAGTGCCACGTTTTTCACCTATAGAAGAATTTCAAGTTCCCTCTGCAATACACACACACACACACACACACACACAAATTAAAAGGGCCATATAAATAATACATGATACCAGATGAAAAATAACTATTAATTCCCTATTTCTACAATATTTGCTCACATGCCACTTGTCGTTAAACAATCACATTGGCAGCATTAAAGCCAACCATTTTTCTCCACGTCCTTTTTATGTCATATGAAGTACTTTCCCACCCCACTTCTAGGAATGAAGAGTGATATAATATTGGCTGAGACACTTGCGCTCTGACAGGTCACTTTATCATTAAAACTGGGGCAGGTTTTCAACTCAACTCTTGCCTGCAGACTTAAAGACTCTGCTAGAGCAACAGGCTCTGTGGTATATAGAGATGTTGCTTTTCTGAAAGACCCTAAAAACATGGTATTGCAACAGGCCTGGGAACCACAAATGGAAATGAAGCCAATCAAGTGGCTGATTTGAGTGTGCTGTTGCAACCATGGGGAGGGGAGTTTGCTATAAGTTTTTGTTACGCAGTGGATTTTTAATTTTTTTTAAAAAAATGTTTGATAATTTGATAGGTAATTGTCTTACAACATTTAAAAAATCCATAGCATTGGAGCCACCTATGAATGAATTAAGCAGCTATATTAATTTGTTAAATAATAAATAAATGTGTAGGGTATGTGAATTTGGGGGTAGGGTTAGCATCAAAAGTGAGTGAATACTGGTCCAAGTGATATTACCTGCAATTGCCTATCAAATTAACTATCAGACAGGATTTTTAAAAAATACTAGAAGAATCTGAGGTGAATTAAGTCCTTTTTCCAGAGAAAATCCGATTCCCATAAAAATGGGCTTAGGACCATGATAATTTATCCTGCTCCTCAGTGCTCCCTGTTTTTGATGCCCAAGAAAGCTGGCACAGATTGCAGGGTTAACTTTTAGAGAGAAGACATTGAGTCTGATCATGGTTTGTGCAAAGGACCTTTCCCCCAGCATTTGCTCTGAGGAATTATTTTCCTTTCAGTAGTTTCAGCCTTTTTTCCCCTCATTCACTTTTGGCTGGGATTAGTCTGTTGCCCAGCTGCATTCCAAGGACTCTTTTCCCCCCCTGTGATCTTCTGAGGTTGGTTTTGACTGGATCTTTCCAGTGAGGTTTTGATCTTATGTGTTCAATTAGCTGATGAGATCTACTTCCTCAAACAGGGACTGTGTTCCCCACTTCTCTCTGGTTTGACCAAATGTTTTGTTTGGGAAAGTTTAATTAGTTGAAATTATTTACTCAGAGGAATCAGTGGATTGCTGAGTTCCTGTTAAGTCAAGGTCTGTTTAAGAAAGGATTGGGGGGGGGGCATATGAGATGTTTGCCAATGAAGGACATTTTGTATGTAGAATATTGGTTGAGTTATTCATGAATAGATGATCTCAATGCTCAGACTGCCAGTGTTTGCCATGCACCTGTGCTACTAATGGCAGCATTAAAAAAAGAGAAAGAAATTAAGAATCAAATCTTTTCTATCCACATTTGGAAAAGCCTCAACTGCTAAATCCCTGCAGGTAGCACAGCTGAAAGAAGCAGGGCCGCAGGGGGAAAAGAAATCACCTTACTTTTGTATTTACTTTCTTAAATATGAAATTATTTTCTATATGTTTATTTTCTAATAAAAACAAGGTGTTTGTTTATGAACATGTGTTCTGCTCTGAATTCTAGATCTGTTGCTGCTAGTGCGCTACTGGAAGACATTGGGGGATTCTCTTTTCGTTTGCCACCACTTGGTGGCACTATATGCTTATGGATACGTTTTGGTTAGTTCCAGAGACCTTTAATTTTTCTGGTGGGTGGGGTGGGGAAAAGAGGACTTTTCATCCTTTAAAAAAAAGGGCATGCTTCTTCAACTTACTTCAGTGCATTCTGCAGTATCCATCACCTCAGCACCTCTATCAGCAAACATTTTCTGGTATTTACCATCTTGATCAGTTTCCATCCATTATTCCTTGTCTGGTCCCTACCAATCACCTGAAGGGTGAGACAGTTATCTTCTGTATGTTGCTTTAATTGTACAAATCCCAGAGCTGCAAAAGGGAGGCCAGATGCAGAGCAGTCCTAGGTTTGTTATGCAGTAGAAATGAAATGTAAAGAACAGATGATGGCAAACTCTAACTTTTTGCTGCCATTTAGTGGTCACCTGGCTTTTGTTGTCCTCATTCAGAAGACACATACAATACAGATAGTCTTCGACTACAATTGAGCCCAAAATTTCTGTTGCTAAGGGAGACACTTGGTAAGTGAGTTTTGCTCCATTTTACAACCTTTCTTGCCACAGTCATTAAGTAAATCACTGCAGTTGTTAAATTAGTAACATGATTGTTAAATGAATCTGACAATGAATCCCATTGACTGTGCTTTTCAGAAGGTCGCAATGACCCCTGGACATTGCAACCGTCATAAATATGAGTCAGTTGCCAAGCATCTGAATTTTTATCACAAGACCGTGGGAAATGCCACAATTGTTGCAAATTTGAAAAATGGTCATAAGTTACTTTTTGTACTTTTTTCAGTGCTTTTGTAACTTTGAATGGTCACTAAATGAGCTGTTGTAAGTCGAGAACTACCTGTACAGTGGGGGACTGAACTCTATAGAGGAGAAAGTGTTAGCAGTCTTGCATATCTGAGGTGGTGCCCTTTACGGTCATGTTCATGATATAGATTCTCAACCAGAAATGTGAGGTGTCTGACTTCCCTTAAAACTACATTTGTAATGGGCAAAGATGTTCTTCCAGAATTCTGCTCTAGTGATCCATTTTGTGGTCTGGAGGGAAATCCCTGCCTTAGGAATGAAAAGCATACTAGAGAGCTAGATTTTATACATGACTTATTCCAAAAAAATAAAGCCCATCCTAGGATAACATTTATTTTAGGGCAAAACCTATTCCAAATGAGTCACAAAAATAAATTTATGCTAGTCTATGACCATAATAAAGATTTGATTTGATATAATAAATATTAGGAATAAAAGATGATTTAACGAATCCAGCATTTAAACCTCCCTATGGCAATTTTAAAAAATCAAGCATCCTTCAGAGTAATCATATAATGAACTGGAATAAAGCCAAGTCAGGGAAAAGTCAGGGTTTAATACGGTAATTATATTCCCAGGCTATGCTAAAAACTAGAAGTTATCACATGTGAGTGTGGAACCCCAAGGAAAAATGTTCTGTTTAGTGTTAGAAGTGAAAATGTTCCCTTTAGTGTTAAAAGTTTGCATTTTCTACCCAACAAGATGTTTGGCATATTATCCCTACATCTGTAACTAGTTTTGGATCAACTATGTTGTGCCCAAATGTTAAGCCAGTATAACAGAAATTATAAAATAATTTCCTGTAAGAAAAGAAAGATCATAGTTGGCTTTATGAATCTATCATATAATCCAAACTGATTCGGGCTGAAAATGTGCCTTCCTGATCTCTAGTTGTCTCTGATCATTTGAGAACACACATATGTAGCCGAACCTATTTCTTCAGAAAATGAACCACTTCAACAAAGTTGCAGAAAACCCAGGTAAAAATAAAATATGCAGTTTCTCCTCAAAGTTCCTTTTTCATCTTGAAATATGAATGAAAAAAATCACTGCATATCAATGAAGAGAGAAGAGGGAAGAAAATGTCTATGCTCTACATAAATGCTGCAGGTTCCTATGAGTCACATAGAATTGGATATGAATGTCCAATAAGCAAAAAATTATGGGAGAAAGAGAGAGGTGACAGTTATAGATAGATATTAAAACCAATTAAAATGAAGAAAAATAACATATATATGACACAATCAGGTAATATTGAAATTTACATTTAATAAGAAAAAAGAAATCTTAAAATATATTTCATATATAAAATTAAAAAATGACCCAATTGTTCAAATATTTTTTTTATTGAAAGGGAAGTGGAAGTGGGAGTGGGAGAGGAGAGGAGAAATTGTTTCCTATGAAACCTATAAGAGCCATGGAACTTAAGAAGAACGAAGGCCTCAGGGCCAAACAGCTTGAGCAAGTGCTTAAGTTGAATAAACTACCACTGAACAGACCACCAAAAATTTGATAAACCAAATTAGTTTTAGAAACAGTTAACATAATAAATAAGTTGGAATAAAATTGTAAGAGGCTCAGTTTACCTTCCAAACAGATTTATTGATTGTTTTTAAATTGGAAGTACCCATTATTTCATGGTAAAAGGATCAATGTTATGTCTGCAATCTAAACTTTTCTGAATATACTTTGTGGCATTAAATGTACATATTGAAACTGACCTCTGAACAAAGAAGGAAAATTTTAGTGGTAGCAACATATCTTCCTATATTAATCATCTGTTCTGTTGCTGTCTAATATATTTTGCTTTTCTTTCTTTCTGGGAGAAAGGGAGAATTGAGATCTCTGCTTAGAACTTTAAAGATTCACTGAAAAAGGCAGTGTCTTTAGAATGGCCATGGGATGGTAAAATCAAAATCTGAGATATTTCTTTCCTTTGCCATAGAGTCGTGGGGTGCTTCCCTATTTTGCCAACTTCCGTCTCCTTTCGGAACTCTCCACACCCTTTGTGAATTTGCGGTGAGTTTGGTGATATCAGAAACAAAATGGGTGAATTTAATAGCTTGCCCAAGAACGTGCACCAGTTCTTTGATAAAGGGGCCCTTGTATCTATGTTCTAGGAAAGGACAGCAATCATCCATACCTGTTCCCCAGTAAAACCACAAGGCTGAGCTCAACATCTCAAGCCTGCTGCATGCTCATATTTAACTATTTTAGTTACCTGCTGTAATTCTGAGAGTGATTTTTATGCTATTGCTTTACTGGGGGAGGCAGAGAATCTGAATGGACTGACATCCGTTTGATTTTTTTTTTTAATTTTGTGTTGCCTCAGGTGGTTCCTGGATGCAGCTGGCTGGCCACGTACTTCAAGTCTTGTTTTGGCCAATGGGTTGGCCATGATGGTAGTGTTCTTTATGGTGCGCATTGCTGTCATCCCCAGCTATTATATGCAGGTGTACTCTTGGTATGGAACTCCTGAATATGAACGTTTGGGCCTGGGTGTACAACTGGCCTGGATTGGGCCAAGCATTGCCTTGGAAATGCTCAATTTGATCTGGATGTACCGCATTGTCCGTGGCTTCTACCGAGCTTTATGCTGGTCTAAGACCTACAAGGCAGCATGAAGAAAGAAAAGTGGTGATACTTGACCTGGAAGGCCCAAGTTCTCCTGGACAAAAATGGATTTCCTCTTCTAATCCCCTTAGAAGCCAGTAGCCCTAGGAACTGCTCCTGACTATGTCCTTGGGGAAAGAATCCCAGATTCATTAAAAAGGGAGCATATAGTTTTCCATTCAATCAAAGAAAGGTCTTGGCCAAATTGACTAGATTCAGCAATTTGCCATCTTCTAGAAATGGGGCTGTAGAAACACTTCACAGGGCTGAAGATAGGCAGTTTTAAAATGGAGGTATATCTAGCTTAGGGATTCCTTTGGCACAAGTGGGAATGCTTGGGAGATACAGTTTGGGGACTCTGCTGACACTCCGCAGGACTTTTGAATGAGACATGTAGCTTTGTGTAGCTAAACAGGTGATATTTCTAATAGTTCAGGAATTTAACCTCTTTCAACTATCAATCTGTCCATGATGATGATCAGGTACTGTTTCCTCCTAGGAAGAAAAGACCGGCTTCTGCTAGGGGCTTTTGGGCCATGTTTAGCAGTAAAGAGGATTGAAAATAGTGGAAAGATGAGGGAAAAAATAATGCCCAGTTATGACTACAAACAATGGGATTTCAGGACCTTCGCTAGAAGGACAGCAATACTGTAAATAGCATCCTTGTTTTACTAAATCAATTGAAACTTGGCATTCCAGTGAGGAACTTGCTTATACAATAGCGGCTAAGTTTCTAAAGACCAGAAAACAATAATTTTAACAAGGTTAGCATCAAGGCACACTTGCCTTTGCTCAGTGGTTTGGATAAATCAAAACTAAAGTGATATCGGGTGCCTCTAAATGTGCCAGGAATACAACTCCCAAAATCCCCATCCACTATGGCTATCTTCCACTCTGGTGTCATTTCTTCTTGTGGTTGCCATTCATGTATATGACAATCACATCTTCCCAACAATAATTTACAGTGAAAGTTTCTTCAGTCCCAAATGTATGTCTCAGTGAATGAAGCCCTGTGGAAAGGTATAGATACTACCACACAAGGCTGAACTTGTTTAATGTTTCATTGTTCTCGAGAGTGTAAATAAATAGTTGGTGCAAGATTCCCTTTTCCCAAAAGCCATTGACAGAAGCTTCTTGTTTTCCCCTCTGTGTTTCTATGCCTTTCTTCTTCTGTTATAGTTGTTTTTCATCCTGATACATGCAAACACAGACACCAGTACAGAGACAGGATATTGTGATGTTGGTTCTGTATCAGTTGACAAAAGTATAATGGTAAGATATGGCAAATCTTAATAATAGAATTCTTTCAAGAATTTTGAAATCTGTGAATTCCAACAGATGCCAGGGTCAGAGGACTAGTTGAAACTTAGGTAGTATCAACACAAACCTAGAACAGCATTGTAGAAAATTCCACAAACTTAATAATGTCTCATTTGTTAACATGGAATATCATACCACACTGATGTACAAGGGATATGCCCATGTGTTGCATGGCTAGCTACTGCTAATTTTTGAGAAAGAGTAAATCTATCTAAAGCCAGCCTTAATAACAATAGCATTTAATGAAAAGGTACATTATTTCATTGACTGTGACTGTGACTAATGGATTCAATTCAAGCCTTCCTACCTTTTTCTTTATTTAAAGTACATTAATAAAATAGGAGGTGGCCATCTGTAAAAATCAGCTGTCCTGTGATTGGTGAATAGTTTCCTACCAGGTGTACTCATTCAGAAAAGGGGCGGGCAGGAAGGCCAGAGGGTTTAATCAATGGCTTTGTTTAACATGCTCTGCACCCCTAGACACCATCACAAGGTATCAATGCTATAGAGGCATCTATATGGATCAACTAAAAACTTTATGGTTGCATCATTTTTGCCAGCTTAAGGATGAGCGGATAGTACTTTAACCAAATCACAAGGAAAGGTCCTAGATTCAGACACTATGAGTTGCTTGCTTAACACAGTGGTTTTAAAGTAGTACTTGAGAGATACTTTGGCTTAATATATAGTATGAACATAGTCAATGAGAGACTTCATAGTCAAGCCATTCCAGAGAGAGGCTTGATTACAGAGCTCTAGAAGCATTTAATTCTGATTGCATAACATGCCTAGAACATATTTGGCTTTATTGAATGTAGTTTTTCCTCTGACTTTAGATTACTCAGTACTTCATGCTCCTTTAGTACTGTATGTTGATTCTTTGTGATGAAAGCCTTTGACTATTCATTCTTAAAACTTCCTTACTTAGATACCAGATCATTATAACTTCTTAGCCCTTGGGTTAAATCCAAGTATACGGTACCATGACTATTCTGCCCTCAGAATTAAAATCTCCAGGAGACTTGCTTCCACAAGACCAATGGACCTCCTAGGGAGAATTTTCACATGGATTGGGCTCCACAGTTTTGGAAAATCAAAACTGACTCCAGGTGCTAAACGCCTTAACTTGTTGGGGAAAAAATGCAAGCACCAAGATTGTTTCTTAAATTTACAGTATTTAATCATCGTATTTGGTGCTAGGGGAATGAGCTGTGATCTTTAAACAGAAGCTGAAGAGCTTTGTTCCTAAATATGTGCCTTAAAACAACATTGCCAAACAGTCAGTTATCAACCTCAAATAGGCTGCCTTATTTTGTTGCCTTCCAGTTGTATTAGACTGTAATTCTCAGAGTTCCCAGCAGCATGACAAACAACTCCCCTCCCTCCCTCCCTCCACTGCTTGTAATTGTGGGAGCTGTAGTCTCAACATGTTGGGAAGCTATCAAGTAGGGAAGACCTCCTAAAAACTTGAAAAAGCCCTCTCAGTTTTTAGATCTGTACAGATGGCAACATGTATTACTCTATTCAGATGGATTATGCCTCATATATAGCAGTGAAAAATGGCTGATTTTTTTCCCTGCAATTTTGAATAATTAAATTCTTGCAATGCAGTGTTTGTAATTTTCTAGCCTCTGTATATTAACTGGAATCAATGAGTGTTAATTTAAATAATAATATAAATAAATAATATTAATTTATTAAACTCCCCCATCTGTTTTGATCTTATGTGAGTATCTGTGAATTGTACTTCGTGGATGTTAAATTTCAGCCTGAGCTGTTGGATATATTGATGGAAGTGTGTTTGTACCATATATGGGTAGATGGAACTTAAAGGCCGCATCCCACTGTACTGTACTAAATTCCTAATCTTAACATATACCTAATGTAGCCTGCCAGACATCTGGGTTGTGAAAATGAGAAGAAAGCTCATTCCAGAGCAGAAGTGCTGCTGCTTCTACTGTATTTTGTTTTATTCCCTCCTCCCTTCCTTCATGCATTACTTTACTGTAGCTTTGGATTGGTGTTTCTATTCCGAATGAAGTGTCTGTTGTGTAGTAAAACTACACAAAGAACCCAGCCTGGCTTTCTGCCCAATTTGATGCCTACAAGATCTTGGGGATGTCTATGAAACAATGAAACAGCTGGTGGGTGTTGTGAAGCAAAAAAGGAACAGGTTTCAATCCAAGCAGACTCCAGAAAAGATGTCCTCTTTTCTGGACCTTCCAGCCCTCTCTGACTGCAGCTGTCAAAAATCAGTGTGTCTGGCATTTAGAAGTAGGAAAGGGGGTGCCCGTCAGGTGTCATGAAAAGAGCCACTATTTCAAACTGTTTTTTACATATACCTAAATGTTCCTGGTAGAAAATACATGAAAACAATGATGCAAATCCTTACCAAAGGTTGATTGTTGTTTTTTTTAAATTGACTTTAACAGGTAAGTTAAAGAAAAATTGTCCAGTCTGCAGAAATTACTTGCTGCTGCTGAATTACAGTAGTATTGCCCTGACCATCCACCACTGCTTATTTCTGTATTAAGCCATAAATCATAGTTAAAGCAGACATAATCCTTACATATTCATATAATTAAATGCATTATGTATAAACCTACACTGAAGACTTGATTTTTGACTCTTGCTATTGCCTCTCCAGAATTTCAAACAGGGGAAGAGAAAACTGCTTCTTGAGATCAGCTGAGTATCTTTAATTTCAGTCTAAAACGGCTTGACTTTTCAGAGAAAGGAAAATATAGGCTTATGCAAATCAGAATATGATAGTCTCTGGTGGACACTAGGAAAATAATCCAAATGTACGGTATTAGTGTACACATTTTCTGATTAGAACTTTGGACCAGAACACAATTTCATGAAATTCACTCTGTAGAACTGATAGGAGAACAATATTTTGGAGAAACTGCATACTATCTGGGTTCCATGATGGACAATGGTTAAAAAGTGAATTTTTTTTAAAAAAGATTTTCGGTTCTAGTTGCAAGCAGTGGTAATTAAAATCCCCCTTTACTCAGTTCTTTGTTAAATAATGGATAATTCTGGAAAGTTCTTATAAACTTTATCAAACTACTTTTCCTTGTATATGGGCAAGCCATTAGTGCCTGTTACTGCTTTGGTTACCAATACATTTTCAGCTAAAATTCAAAATACTGATTTTTAACTCAGAAAGTCCAATATGGCAATGCTTTTAGATACTTGCTGGACTATTCACTTCACACACAAGTAGCTTTCAGGGCACATATCAACATCTTTTGATTGTCTCCCTTTGAGGTGAAAGGGGAGGGTAAGCAAAGAGGCAGAGTGTTTTTCATTGTGACTCTAGTATTAGTCTCCCTTTTGATTAGTCTGTTTCCTTTCTGGAGGGCCTGGGCAGTGGTGAGATTCAAATAATTTAACAACTGGTTCTCTGCCCTAATGATTTCTTCCAACAACCAGTTCCCCAAATTGTTCAGAAAGTTAACAACCGGTTCTCCCGAAGTGGTGCGAACTGGCTGAATCCCACCACTGGGCCTGGGGGAGTAAAGCTGCTGTGCTTCCTTGAATTTTATCTCTATCGGTTATTCTCAGATGTTGGTAATGTTTTATATTTTTACTATGCAAATCGCCAGGAGTTGCTTTTGAATTTGGCAATATAGAAATTTGATAAAATAAACCCACACACAATTAAATACATTGTCCACTAAATAGCAGGCCAATGGCATTACCACAGATTTATTTTGGCCACATTCAGTAGCCCCATTTACCCAACAGCTGATGCATTTGGCATGCTGTCTTATCCAAATTTTCCTTCTTGGAATGGTGCAGCAGCAGTAGTGATCCAGTAGCAATTTTGCTTTCTTTCTAGGAAGCAATGCACACACACACACACACACACACACACACACACACACACACACACACAGAATGGCTATGTTTACCAAGCGAATAGGCAGTGACATCAGCCCATCTACCAAGGTTCTATAAATGGAAATGCTTATTGTTAGAGAGACACAAGGGGAGAGAGGAAAGTTCTGATTCAGCCTCCATGCATCCCAGGCCCAGCCTCACATCATCAGCAAAATTTAAATTCCTAGTAGTTCCCTCAGGAATTGATGAGGCTGTGTGTGTGCCAAGTGACACAATAAGCCTTGAAAGCTACTATTGTTAATTGTGTGGGTGCCATTTCTTTCTAATGTCTCCATCTAACAAAAATCTTTTAACAGGAGATGGAACATGAGCTCTCCCCAAAGTAAAGTGTTAGTTATTGAAGAAGAAAGGCTTGTTTCCTTTTCCATGTTTATCATTTTTCAAGCTGGTATTAAATCATTAAGATTGATAGAATACAAGACACTGATGTCAAAAGAATCGAGTTGTGGAAAGCACCGTTTTAAAATTTTTCTCATTAATTTTCTATTTTCCTATGGCACAATAGTCTTATGAAAATTTTCCTATGTAGTAAGGTACCACAGCTTCAAAATTGTTACCTTTATACTTTAAAAATGACTATGTGAGGTGGCAATTGTATCTTGGGGTTCTCCTCCTTTCCTCCTAAAGCTTCTGTTAGGATTTATCTCAGAAATGTCCAGTTCATAATATGTGGACCTTGTGCCATACTCGTCAAGTGGCAACCAAAGAATGTGAATATTTCAGCCCATGCAATGACTGGAAGATGAAATATGGGCAGCCAAGAGGGCCTGTAATTTATTAGTATAAATTTACTAGAATAATTCACCCTCACACTGTCCTGAGGACTGGCTAAGGTCAGTGTGTAGTATCTGTCTTTATGTGTTAGTGGAACAAATATTAGTTTTTGGTTATTTGCTATCTTTGATAAAATGATTTTGCTTGTCCCTGAGTTAGATCAAACTCTTGCATAAATTAAGATAGTTAGTATTAACGGTGGAGGAACCCAATCCTAATCTTTCTAGCTTTGACCCTGTTAGTTCAAGTGGGCTGCTTGTCTTATGTTTTTCATGTCAGATTTTCTTTTATTGAAAAACAGCCAAGGTTGATGTAGCTCCTTGATGACTTGATGTAACCCTCCATTCTTTCTATCTCCTCTTCTTAGAGCAATAAACAGTAAGGTAAAGGTAAAGGTTCCTCCGCACATGTGTGCTAGTCGTTTCCGGCTCTAGGGGCGGTACTCATCTCTGTTTCTAAGCCAAAGAGCCAGCACTGTCCTAAGACATCGTCTCCGTGGTCATGTAGCCGGCATGACTAATGCCAAAGGCACAGGGAGCACTGTTACCTTCCCACCAAAGGTGGTCCCTATTTTTCTACTTGCATTTTTTACATGTTTTCGAACTGCTAGGTTGGCAGAAACTGGGACAAGTAACGGGAGGTCACTCCGTTATGCGGCACTTAGGGATTCAAACAGCTGAACTGCCGACCTTCTGATTGACAAGCTCAGTGTCTTAGCTACAGAGCCACTGCATCCCCAATAAACAGTACGACGTTTCTATTTCAGACAATCTGAGGAAGGAGGAAATAACTAGGATTGCTGTTTCACAAGATGGACAACAGTGGCAGAGGCAAAAATACGGGTAGTCCTCAATTTACAATAATTCATTTAGTGACCATTCAAAGTTACGACAGCATTGGAAAAAGTGATTTATGACCATGTTTCACACTAACAACCACTGCAGTGGTCATGCATTCAAAATTCAGATGCTTGGCTACTGACTCATATTTAGGATGATTGCAGCGTCCTGGGGTCATGTGATCAACTTTTGTGACCTTCTGACAAGCAAAGTCAGTCGGGAAGCTAGATTCACTTAACAACCATGCTACTAATTTAACAATTGCAGTGATTCACTTAGCTACTGTGGCACAAAAGGTCATAAAATGAGGCCAAATTCACTTAACAAATATTTCATTTCACAACAAAAACTTTATGCTCAATTGTTGTCGTAAGTCGAGGACTACTTGTAGTGTTTTGATTATTATTTGGTAATTGAGTTTCAATTGCCATTTTAACATCTCATAGTATCTCAACATAGTGTCACTTGGAAGGTTTTGGGGAAAATAAATGACAGCTGGATGTAGTTCCAAGGAATTGGTGCACTTGAGTGTCTTCAGTGCTGCCTACAGACGTTGGGCCAGTATGTGTGTGCTTTAAGACTGTGGGCATTTGCAAAGTCATTTTGTTATTCCAGAGATCTGTTGTTATCCAAAAATTGTCAATAAAAGGCAATTTTCCTCTCACCCAACAATTGCTTAAAACATTATGGTGGGTATTGCAATCCTAATGAATAATCAAAGGACCAAAATTAATAAAAAGCAAGCATTAAATCAAGTTATTGGAAAACAACATGCAAAAGAAATACAGCCTCAAAGTAGGAATATATCCTTCAACTGTGCTTCCATTAAGTCAATCAAATGAGGGCTACACACTGAAATCTTTTCATGCAACAACATAAAAGTGGTTAATGGGTCAAAGAAAGAGGAGAAGGAAAACTAGGATGGTAGGTTACTAAAAATGTATTAAATAAAAAGGCTTTGCTGTGATTCTGACCTCCTTGTTAAACAGAGCTATAAAACATGCATTTTAGTTTTACAATTAAGAGCATAGCTCAGATGACATAATTTATAAAAACCATCCTATTCAAAACTGTCTTAACCTGGGTTTTTTTGCGGGGGGGGGGGGAGGGAGGTTTCTTCTCTTCTCTCCTTACTGAGCAAAGTGGTCTTTATTTCATTTGGTCTTTCTCATTTCCTTTCT